GGGGGGGGCGGCGGGCGGCTGCTGGGTCTCGGCCTCGCTGCTCATGGTTGCGGTGATGGTGACTGGGGCCGGCTGCGGCAGCTGCGGCTCCTCCCGGGGTGTGATGGTAACTAGGCCGGCGGCGGCGGTGGGGCTGCTCAGGGCTCTCTGGGGTCCGCTCTCCGCTCCCGCTACCGATCGAACTAGCGAGAATGGCGGGACGGGCGGGATAAGCCCTGCGATCGACCCGCCCCAAGCATCGTTCACTGGCCAGCAGTGCTGTCAATCCCACCACCTGACCCCGATTCCTGGCCTCTATTGGCTAATACTTTATCACTCCTCTACTCTCATTGGCTTTTAGGCGGCTAATTCGGCCGACCTACAACCGTTCCTGCCTCCGCCGCCGCCATAGAGACCGGAACTAGAATTAGAGTAGAGGCACCACGAGAACCATAGAGTACCCGAGAGGACGGGCAGAGTGAACATGACTTTCACGAGGCTGCAACGCGGGCGGGCCTCACGTCCAGGGTTAGGTCCTGGCTGAAGGAAGGGGACTACCAAACGCCTGATCCGGGGGCTTGAAAGGGGACCCGACGACACCTTAGCCTCATGTGGAGGGGAGGCCTTCCTCTCTCCCTGTTTTAAATGTGGTCCTTGTGACCTTAGACTGCGGATTGAGCCCTGTTTTCTACGATGGCCGTGTACTCTCGGCACAGCGAGGGTTTCTGGAACGGACTTAAACGTATGCATTCAAAGAGCGTCCGTTTTGGCGGAGCAGTCACCTTGGAGGGACCACGCAGTCCGTCAGATCGCCCCTGCTCAGCATATTTAGGGCGGAGGGCGGTGGTGTACTCCACGGGGACCTGCCTTCTGAACCATCTTACCAGGCAAAGAACTGTCTCGTTAAGTAGTCACGTCTTTCTGAATTGGCCACAAATCAGATTTAATTTCAGTCTACGTTTATTGAGCAAGCTGGGCATTTTCTTTGCATTTTATCCGTACAACACCCAGGTAAAATAGGGATTACGATCCTCATCTCACAAATGATTTATAATTGAGGCTGCCACCTGATGTAGCTGAAGTCCTCTACCTTCATTCATTCTCTATTAAGGGTCTACTATCGGCTGGGATGCACTAGTTCACGACTCAGATTCTGCCTTAAATTCAGTCTAGGGATGAAGGCAGAAATTTAAATACCCCAAACTCCAAACACTCCAGCTTTGCAAAAGCACAAAGCATTTTGGGAGTGGAGGTGGGAAGAAGGTGGAGTGCTGACTCCAGGCACTAGGAGGTTTATGCAAAAGCCTAGAGGCAAGAAGACGGGGTCTGGGGGAAATAGAAGTAAAGTAGTCTAGTCAGACTAGAATGAAGACCTTGGGTTATAGAGGTAGGCAGGTTCAAATTAGGAACGTTTTATTTGAGATTATCCTAAGGGCAACAGCGAGAAGGGTAATTTTAGAACTGTTAAGTAGGAGTGGCAACATTTTTTTTTAACGGCTACTGAGTGTGGGGCGCTTGGGTGGCTCAGTCGTTAAGCGTCTGCCTTTGGTTCAGGTCATGATCCCAGGGTCCTGGGATCGAGCCCCTCATCAGGCTCCCTGCTCAGCAGGAAGCCTGCTTCTCCCTCTCCCACTCCCCCTGCTTGTGTTCCCTCTCTCGCGGTGTCTCTGTTAAATAATAAAATCTTAAAAAAAAAAAAAGGCTACTGAGTGGGGAAGGGGTTGTAGAGGGACAAAATGTAAGCAGAGAGACAGTAGGCCAGTGCAGTATCCTCTAGGCTGTCAATTCCACCTCCTAAAGGCTTCCCTGAATCAGTCCTAAAAATCTCTAAATGCCAAACCAGACTGTCTCATTCCTACTTCCATGACGCTAGTATAGGCAATCATCTACTGCTTACAGCAGGAGTAGGCAAACTTTCTCTAAGGGCCAGACAGCAAATATTTTAAGCTTTGCAGGCCAGACGATTCTGTCTCAACTGCTCAACCTTAGAGCCTGAAAGCAGCCAGACAATAAACAAGTGCACGTGTGTTCCAAAAAAACTTTATTTGTGGACACAAATTTGAATTTCATATTTTTACGTATCACAAAATATTCTTTTGTTTCAACTATTTGAACATTTAAAAAACATTCTTATTCTTAGCTTATGAGCCACTGAAAAACAGGGAGTGTGATCTGACCTGCCAACCAGTTTGCTGACCCCTCACTTTAGAGCACTGCTGTGGCCTCCTAGCCACTCTCTACCTCTTTCTTCCTCTAAGATTCTCCACCACGATATCCAGGGTGTTCTGAAAACATCTATCTGATCATGACAGTCTTATTACTACTGCCCTTAGGTTTGTCCAACTTCCTTATTGTGGTTTACATGACCCTGTAAGACTTCTCCAAACTTACCTCTGACACTTCTTTCACATTCCTCGTTCAACCTTCCAGGTGATCTTTGAGCCATTGCTTCCTTTGAGCTATCACATACTATTCCTTCTACATATAACTCTTCCTTTCTCCCTTCTTCTGACTGCTTAACTCTTCATCCTTTGGGTCTTGCCTCAGATGTTACCTTGTTCGGAGACCCTCCTATCCTAACACACTGTGTTGCATTAATTAAACCTTCCTCTCCTCAGACTGAGTTCCTGAAGCATCTGGACTAGTACTTGACACACAGTATCTTAATAATTTTGTTCTATGAATAACATGGTATAGAAAATGGACCGGAGAAGGTACTGACAGCAGAGAGGTTGTCTGGGCAACTGCACCAGTAATCCAGGTGAAAAAGGCTTGCAGCAATAATGTGTATGGACAGAAGAGTCAGATGCTAGAGTTGCTATTCATCTGTTCCAGCTCCAGATAACTTTTGACTGTTAAAAAGAAAATGTTTCCTCAAAAGGCAGTTCTGCCCACACTGGGGACATTTAAAAGTGTGCCCTATAGGTCTGAGACCTTTTTCCCAAAGTGGACACTTAGAACAATGGGAGCAGCACCTCTGAATAAATGAGCAACCTTCCCTATGTAACTGGTTTGAAGGGATGGCTTCTCAAACAGAAATATCAATTCTGTAACATTTGTCCTTAAAATGTTACTTAAAAGTATCATTACTTATCCAGTTATTTCATTAAGCTCTCTTCACGTTCCACGAGCAGAAAGATGAGTTATTTAAGAAACGAGTTTCCATACCGCTGCAGAGATGGCACTGAGGCACTAGAGGGTAAATAGTTCCTGTCACAATTCAACCCCTGCGCCAAGGTGGGAGCTTTCCACTCCAGTTTTGCTAGCCCCTGCCACAGTGCCCAGCATGGTGACCAGTTTAGACAACTCCAGGGCCACCCGTAAGTGATATGAAACCAAGGTTCATTCCAAGAATCTCCTTTGCAAAATAATGTTCACCTTGTCCTCCATCTCTAATAGGCTCTGGCCCAAGAACACAGGTCCTCTTCTTGGAAAGCCCCCAATCTGTCAATACTTACCTCAAATGTTACCTCTTCCTTTCATGCTACCCCCCTCCCCCACAGCATACCATTGTACATACCGTTCAGGCAACAGGTATTTCTTGAGCGCTTACTAGATACTTACCTTTTCTAGGTGCTGGGGGACATAGCAACAAAACAAAACAACAAAACCGAATTCCCTGCCTTCGTAAGGGGTCACATTCTAATACCACACTGAACTGAAATGGGCCTATCTCCTGTATGTCACAAGCACGGGCCACATCCTACTCATCTTGCAGCTCCTGTGCCCAGGACAGAGACTGGCCTAGAATGCAGGTGCCAAGTATAACTGAATTCAAATGAATGGCCCATCATAAGAATGTCAGCTCAGGGGCGCCTGGGTGGCTCAGTCGGTTAAGCGACTGCCTTCGGCTCAGGTCATGATCCTGGAGTCCCGCATCGGGCTCCCTGCTCGGCAGGGAGTCTGCTTCTCCCTCTGACCCTCCT